CAAGGAAACGTGGTGCCCAGGGGCAGTCCTGAGCCCATTAATCCCCTGCTATCCAGAAAGCAGCATCTTTGGTAGCGGCTCTCTGCTTGGGTGCCCCCTCCCACAGTTAAGGCAGCAAGGGCCCTACACAGCCAGCACTGAAACTCCCGACATGCCCACCACCCCTCCTTCCTCCCACTCTGCAACCCTCCCCGCTCCCTTTGTTCTTCTTGGGGTTCTCAAACTGGGAGGGGGCTCATTTAAGTGGAGATCAGTAGCTTCAGGCCATCTGCGCATCTCACAAGCAACTCCCCTGATTCTGATGTGAGGAGGCCTGAGGGGCCACTGACTCTAAGCCCCTGCCCTGTGTCCCATTTGTCCAGAAGTTTCTCTGGCCCCTGAGCACATTCTAGGTCTTCCCACCCCATCACCTGTATTCACACGGGTTCCCCATCACCACCTGGAAGGTTCCCTAGTACAGCTATCTAAGATGTCCCCATCCATCAAGACCAACTCAAACCTCACGTCCCCGAAGCCTTCCCTGACCTGCCTCAGGACAAAGTATGACCCCTCTGCACTCTGAGCATACCTCTGGCCCTTGCTGCTTATCATCACCCCTACCTAGTGTGCATGGTGGTGAGGTCCAGCAGTGTACAGAGTAGAGTACGGGCTCTGGACTTGGGCATGTTGCCTTCCTTCCCCATGGAGAGCCTGCATCAGGAAGCCAATGGAAGGACTGCTGAACGAGTTCATGTAAAATGCAAACAGCGTCCAGTACAGAGCAAGTCCTACCTTAATGTTGACCGAGTGCACTTCCTGGTCCTTCCGGTCATCTTTTCGTCCCTCTAACCATGTTTTATGCTCTTTGAGGTCAGGGAGGTTCCTAATCGTCTTCACTTCTGGGTCATAGGGAGGGACACACACTCCCAGGACACGTGCTGGAGGATGATGCAAGTTGGGGAAGCGAGGCTCTTGGGGGCCCTCGCCATCCTGGCCAGAAGCATCCATTCAGTATTGGGGGGCGCCTCTTCCCACCCTGTCACCCCACCACTACATTCAGAGAGGGAGAGGAAGAGTTGACTGGGTTTTATTTCCCAGGAAAATGTTGTCTCCATTTGAATTCTCCCCACCCTTGTGAGAGGCCGGGAGTTACATTGTCGTTAATGCATGAAGTCGGAGGCTTATGGGATCAGAGCTTCTCCCCCAGCCTTCCCACACCCAGATCCACGAGCTCAGGCCCCAGGCGATGGAGACATAGGGCAAGCCACACAGAACAGGAGTCCACCCAGCGCTGGCTGGTCAGGGCAGGAGATGGGTGCCCACCCTTCTAGGGTGAGTTTGAGCAAGACTGTACTGAATTTCCTGGCAGACATCTGGGACTGAGTCCACACACCTGCTTCTGACGAAGGCATGCTCAGAGCTCTAAGGGCACCTTCCCTCTGGGTCGGTTGCAGGCCCCTCATTAGCCTCGCTCGGGGCAGCTGCTGCTGGAGTGTTATTTTTCAAACACCTCTGAAGCTTTCAAAGTCAAAGCCTCCTGGCTGTCCAGGACTCTAAAAGGACAGTGAAGTGGGCTGGTGGGAGCAACAGCTGGAGGAAACCTGAAGGCCCCGTGGTAGGAAACTATCCGACTGCCTCCCAGTGCCGCCCCCAGAGCCAGCCTCTCACCAGGAACGCCAAGGGACCAGGTGGCAGAAGGAAAGCGACAGCCCTGTTCCGGTCTTGCCTGTTGTCTGCTGAGAGGGGACCATGGACAATTACAGAACATGAGCTCCGTGTCTCCTCAGAGTGGAGATATCTAATAGCTCACAGGACAGTGTGTGATGTGTGTGCCTGGTGTCCCACTCGGTCCCTCCTCAGCCAGCCTGCCCACGGGGGAGCCACCTGGAGACCACGTCTGGTCACTGAGGACAGGGACCCCTACATCAAGGGGAGCCCACCCTCTCCTCTCTGCAGGCTCAGCAGGAAAACCGCTTAGGGATTTCCATGAGCCAACATACTTACTGATTTATGAGCCCTTCTGATAAAATTGAGTCTCCACTCCTTAGTATTCGTTAAAGAATGTTTTTTATTCTAGAAAATTCTGACTTTCATCCCATCTACTCAGCTGAAACTCCTCTCTTGAATTTAGATCACCAGTATCACGTTGTGGACCCCCCCCCCCCAGTGCCTCTCCTGCTCAGATGCCCGGGGCTCATGGGGCCTCCTGGGTCCGCCCACTCCCCTACCCTGGGGAGGGAGCCCCTGTTCTCATCCCCCCTTCCCCAGGGTCCTCTTGCTTCAGAGCCAGGGAGAAGACACTGTGCTTTCCCAGATTCTTCTCTGTCTCGTGGCTCCAGAAACACATCAGTGAATACTCTGTGTCTGCAAAGGGCTTGAGGGACAAGTAGACATCAAGAAGTAGCTAATAGTTAACAAAAATCCAGCCGGCTTTTGGTTGTCATTCAAAGGTAAGCAAGAAGCAGGGGTTAACTTTCCCACCCTGCTATCAAGGCCCAGGCCCACAATTCTGGCCCACGGGCAGCTTTGCCTAAAAGAACATCTTTCCTTTACTTGAGAGCAGGTGTTTCAGAAGGAAGCCCCTCCCACCCCACATCCCCACTTCAGCCCCAGTGCTGCAGAGAGGTAGGAGCTCATTCTAGGGAATCCATTCTCTAAAAGACTATTTACCTGCATATCAAGGAAAACTTTCCTTAAGTTGTCCCCCCGCCCCCCGGGCGATCCCTACTTTATAGTCTTCCTCTGACAGTCACACCTCTGACTAGAAAATAAAATCAGACCATCCTTTCCTTATAACCCACCCACTCGGAAGTGACCTCGTACAGACAGTTTGGCTTGCCTCTGTAATTTTTAGACTCAAACCTCAGCCCCTAACAAAGTACTGTGCACACAACCTGGATGAGTCTAAATGTCAAGTGGAGGAATTCAGACTCAAATGACTGTGATTCCCTTTGCATGACATTCAGAACCAAGGCAAGACTGGAGGGACAAGGAAGGGACACAGGGACTTGTCTGAGATGATGAAATTGTTATAGTATCTTGATTGTGATGGTGGTTATGTGATTCTAGGCTTTTGTCAAAACTCATAGAACTATACACTAAACAGGGCAAATTTTACTTAATGTATGTAAATCATACTTCAATACACCTGACTTTTAAAAAGTGTCTTATATTTGCCAATCCTTTTTGAAACAAGGTGAGGCACAAATAGCTGCCAACTTTTGTGAACATCTCATTCACCTTTGAAAATGGGAACTGTAACTCTCTGGAAGGTCAGGTATGTCGAAGAAAAGGGTCAGTGATCCCCACAAAATGTGCCTTGTTTTGAAGGGGATTCAAAACAAGATCGGATCATAGGAGGCATTCCTTATTGATTCATTCATTTATTCATTCCTTTGTTCAACAGCGTTGATTGCACACTTCTTAAGAGGCCGACTTGGGGGCTAGGCAATGAGGAAATGTCTGTGGAACACGATACAGCTTCTGCTCATGAGGTGCATACAGTCTAGTGGTCGGAGAATGAGGGACTTGATGGAAGTGGAGAAAAAGTAGCCAAACAGGGACCATGGAGCTCCTGGGAGGGGCATCCACATCATCCCAGCAAATTGGGAAGCTTCTGAGAGGAAGCCAGCCCAAGCGTGAGTCAGCCAGGGAGGGCAGTGGGTGCGAGGACCTCCGCTGGTGGAATGCACACGGGGAGGTGCCCAGGGAGAGAAAGTGGGATACATTATTAACAAATTGGAAGGAGTTCATTCTGACGGGAGCTTTGAGTCCAGAGGACGGCTTTGCTCTAGTCATTTCCGGCTCAGGGGTGTTCTCCTCTTTCCCCCACCAGTTTGAGCCCTACTCTGAAGAAATTTGTGCCGCAGAGGAGAGAAAGTTGCTGTCATTTTTCAGGGCCCTGAAAAGGTTTTTAAACAACAAATCTTTGCTCAACAACTGAAAAATTTTCAGATTTAACTGATCAGAAGTGCCTGGGTACTTGGGCTTCCAAACTTTTCATACATTTTCACTTGGGTCTGTCTGTGATACTTTTACATCAGTAAAAAGACAAATTCAAATGCCAAACGGGGCATGACATCATCAAATAACAAGACCACCCCTAGAATCTCTCATTGGAGCCCCTCGATCTGAATGGTCTCACCTTGAATCCAAAATGAGTCCATTTGCCCACTTTAGAGAGATTGTTTAGTTAATCCAGATGGACATTTCCCATGTTTTGCTGTTGGGCCAGCCTTCTGAATTATGTAGAGAAAAACTTTCAAATTTCCTGGCTATTTTTTTTTTATCTGTGCTAAAACCACGTAGATCATCATTGTACCTTGTAGGGAGGGATTCCATCCCAGACTGCGAATTATTGAGCAATGGCTAAAATCAGCTAGACTGTCTATTCCCCCCAAAGAACACTATCTAATCACAGAGTCCTCTGGGAAAAAGCTGTGTCCACTTTGCCATTTAGGTCTGCTTTCATAGGCCCTTCATCAGCATCCATTATGAAGCTCGCCTCACCCATGCTCAGCAGGAGTTTGGCTCTGGCATTGTAGCTGCATTAATTGTAATCTCTAGCACCAAAGCAGTGGGCTTGATTTCAAATGTATGGCTGTTTCTGAGATTTAGCCACTAGATAAATGAAATTTCATCATCTCATTGTTGTTCCGGTAGTAGTGGTAATGAACTTGAATATGGTTCTTATTTACCCATCTTCTTACTGGATGAGGGCAGATTTGTTTTGCACAGTTACATCAGGCTGGTGTAGGATACTTCTAAAATAATGGTACCCTGAATCCCTTTCTACACAGGAGAACTCCAGGGCCTCCTGAGATTCTTCCACACTTGAGCCCCACAAACTAACCTGAACCCCTATAATCAGACCCCTGTTCTTTAATGCTCACTCCAGATAACAGGAAAGAGTAGACGGCTAGAGGATCCTGAAGGGGGTCCTGTGTCCAGGTGAAGAAAAACAAGAAGAGGCGTGGGAATATGCGTGACGGATGAATAGGGCCAGTGATTTTGTCTTGCAGGGTTATCTGTCAGAAGGCTTGGTAACGAAGTGGTACCGCTCACCACGCCTGCTCCTCTCCCCGAACAACTACACCAAAGCCATCGACATGTGGGCCGCAGGCTGCATCCTGGCCGAGATGCTCACGGGGAGAATGCTCTTTGCAGGTAAGCTGCTAACCACGCCACCTTCCTGCTCCTCCGGTGTCATTCTGCTTATATTTTTCCCTTTTCTTCTCCTTTTTAAATTTTTGCTTGCTTGTTTCTCTCCCCCTTTTTTTTTTCTTTCGGTGATATTCTAGAAAAAGAAAGAACTGAGTGCACAAAACATGGTAACTTTCTCTTTGAAATAATCTCTGTAGCTTTTATGGCACTACTTGGAGGTGCCTTACTATCATTTCAGGCAAAATACTAGACTCAAAATAATCTCTGAGGACAGAACTTTCAGAATCAAGTAACCACTTGTATTCAAACACCTTGAGATTGACTGCTGGAAACACCTGCCCTCCATTTTCAATCCCTTCCTCATGTCTCCCTGCCACTCTGGGCAGTTGTTAGCCTGGATTGCTCATTTGGAAAGGGCACCCCACACGGGGCTCCCAGAGTCCCTGAACCCACCCTCCATGAGCCCCCTGGAGAGGCCAAAGGGTCTCCTTGGGAGCAGACCCTGATGCTGTGGGCAGTTTCTGGGTGGGCATTGAAAGCATTTGCATATGATTAGTGCCACCCAGGGCATCGTGGGGGAACACGGAAGAGCCCATCCTGGGCCACCAGCCTCTGGCATTCTGAAATCCCATGGGAACCAATGGTAAGGGGGGGCCCACTGTGCAGTGGGGACGAGCGGGTGGTGGGGGGACTCCTCCAGGAAAGAGAGGCTTGGTTGAGGATTCACCCTAGTAGAGGAAGTGGAAAGGCTACTCATGCAAAAAGGGAAAGTGGAAATGATGAAAGTAACTGCAGCCTGGAGGTCAGAGCAGGACCGCAGGGAGACAGACCCGACCCACACCAGCAGTGCCAAAGCTCCGATGCAGGCGCCATGTTGCCTGGGTGTAGAAGGCAAGTTTCTGAGATGCATAAAGACTGATGCTCCTTACAGATGAGAAAGGTATTCATTCCCAGCATCTGGCATGGTGCCTGGCAGAGAGAAGGTACTCAATAAATAATGACTTGTTGAATGAGTGAATGAATGCTTGACTCCATCCTGACCACGGAGGGGCAGAGCCTGTCTTCCTCCCTCTCCCCAAGGAGCACAGGGGCAGTGCTCTCAGGACACACCCCAAACCCAATTTGTTATTCCTGATTCTTTTTCCCTCCTAACTGGAGTCCTTCTAATTGGAAGCCAAAGGCTAAGGCTCAGTTCTAGACTCGAAATCACTTCCTTCCCCAGCCTGGTAAAGACCATGTGGAGAGGTATATGGAAAGGAGCACTTGGAAGGCCCTGGGCCAGGCTGCTCCCGTCCCTTTAGTGTTGGCTGACTCAGTCTGGATCAGACTGCTCCATTAAGAGGCAGAGACATTTCACAAAGCCGAGCCCCAGAGACAGCAGGCAATCTGCTTGTAGTCAATAGCATGTTAGCGGCGGAATGAAGGCCAGAGCCCAGGACACCTGGCTCCCAGCCTGGTGCTGTTCCCACTGTCCTGTGTTGCCCTTCCCAGGCCTTCTGGAGCTGCTATGGTGCTTCTGCACACCCACCACTTGGGCAGCTCACTTAACCACCTGGCATTTGCCTTCCCAGGGGCTCACGAGCTAGAGCAGATGCAGCTCATACTAGACACCATCCCTGTGATCCGGGAGGAGGACAAGGACGAACTGCTCAGGGTGATGCCTTCCTTCGTCAACAGCACCTGGGAGGTGAAGAGGCCCCTGCGCAAGCTGCTCCCTGAAGTGAACAGTGAAGGTACTTGAGCCAGACATCCAGGCCAGCATCTTGGGGGCATCATCTTGAGGGCAGAGGCAGGTGGTCTCCTTCCAAAGGACCACGCATAGTCCCTAGCCATACAAGCGAGCCCCCCAGCAGGCAGCCTGTGCCCTGGCTCCTTCCAGACTGGGAAGGATGGCGCTCTGGAGTCTGGCCAGCAGGCACCCCTCACCACAGTCCTCAGTGGTCCTCCACATTCTGGCCCTGGTTTGCTTTTCCTTCTTGTCTTTCCTGCTTGCCTCCCTCCTTCATCCCCTTTACTTCTTCCTCGTTGGAGGGTATGATACGGTGCAGAGAACATGAGCTTTATCTGCTTGCGAGCCAAAGCCGGGTTCAACTCCTAGCTCCACCAGTGCCCAGCTCTTTGGCCCTGGTAAGTTTCTTGACTTCTCTGCATCTCTGTTTCCTTACCTCCTAATATATATTAGACAGGTGGTTGTGACAAGTCAGTAACATAGAATTTGTAACACCCTGGGCAAAGGAGAGTGTCATCTCAGACATTACATTCTCACTGGGCCCCATCCCTGTCAGAGGCTTCCTTAGGAAGCTCCTGTATAAGTAGGATACAGGTTCAGCCAATCGTGAGAGAGACCCAAATTCGCAATGGCTCCATTGAGTTCATGCTTCTTTAAGAAAAAAGAAATTAAGACGTTTATTTCCCTTTTATTTAGTAATCCAAAAGCAGGCAGTCCAAGGCCACTAGGTGGACCCTCCCCATAGTCACCCAGGGGCACACGGCCCTTCTGTCTTGTTCTGCCACTGTACGGTGCTGCCCTTAGTCCCTGGAGGAGGGAGAGGAAGGGGGTTGGGTCCCCTGGCCCTTCAGGTCATGAGCCAGAATTTACACACCTCACCTTCATTCATGCCTCGTTGGCCAGAGCTGAGTCACAGGGCCCCACCTCTCTGCAGTGGAGACTGTGAAGTGGGTATTTTACTCCATGATACTTTGTGTCCAAAATTAGGAAAGAGGAGAACAGACACAGGGTACAAACCAGCAGTCTCTGCTGTACTCCTCCCCATCAAGAAACCAAGAACTTGGACTCACAATGTCTTTGGCCATGATTCCCATTCAATCAGTGAATTGCCTCAGTTTCCCTGTCACTAAAAGGGAGAAGGGATTATTTGATTCACCACAAATTAAGGCTCGGCCATCCCTATTTATTTTGATTCTGAGCCTGCTGTAGAAACCCCACCAAGTGTCAAGAGGTGCATTCACCTCTCACGAATTCTGGATCAGGAATGTGTCACCCAGGTCCCCTCCCCCAAGCAACAACACACACTGCAGCCCTTGGTGACCTGGCTCTGAGAGTGGTGGGCCTGGTCTCAGCGAAGTCAGAACTGGTGCCTGATCGAATATGATGAAGCTCCTCACTGTCATCAGCAGCCTCCGCCCACATTGATTGACCCACTGTGGCTGGAGCACTGCCACGGATGGAAATGCAAACAGACACAAGAGCTGGTCTAGCTGGGGAGACAGGGAATCCCATTAGAGATGAGGATGGAGACTTAAGGGGCACATTCTACAGGGCAAGTGAGAGCTCCGGGCACTTGGGAAGGGGGAAAGAGCCACCAAGTGCTGAGAGGGACAGAGGCTGGCCCAGAAGAGTGGTGAGGGCCTAGATCAGTAGGATGAGTTGCAAACCATAGAACTGAAGAGGTGAAAAGGACTGAGAGCCACGGGGCTTTGAATGCCCAGCTGATGGATTTGGACTCAGTCCTGCAGCTGAACAGATGTCCCTTAAAGCCAGGCTTGCTGCGCTGTCCCATCATGCCAACTTCATCCAAAATTCTCGCATTTGCCTCTGGCCTTGAAAAGTAACCCAGTTCAGCCTCTGGACCTCAGGTAATGAGGTAGCACCGGCGTGGAATATGGAATATCGGTGGCAGGAAGGGGACTCAAGCCCATATGGCTAGGACAGCCAGTTGGTGACCCTTGGTTCACCCCCTCTGCTGTGCTTCTGAGGCCCTGCAGATGTGGGAAGAGGCAGGGGTCTTTCTGCTATAGCCCCCAGGGGCTCAAAGGACACAGTCTAGGTGTCCATGTCCCCCAGCAGCCGATGCAGCCGTCATGCCACGGATGCAGCACAAGGAAGGCAGGCCCCGAGAGCCCATGGTTCTGCATTTACTACCAGAAGTAAATACCCCACAAGTGACAAATCAGACTAGAAAACCGAATACACAAAACAGGTGGAAGGAAGGTTCTGGATGAATTAGGGTCGAGGGCCTCCGAGCCTTGCCCGCTTGACTCTCGATCACCAGAGACACCCCTGAGAATCTTTCAGAACCTCGGGCTTCCGAGAAGTCTAGCTGAGAAGCCACGGGGCCACAGAGGGTTACAGGATGGTACATAAGCCTCATCTATATTAGACGTACCTTAAAAACACCTGGGGAAGTTGAGCCCAGGAAAAAAAGGAGTTGGGGGAGGGAGGATACGGTGGTTCATGAGTTAAAGGTAAGCTAGCACTGTAGCAGAAAATCTGAAATCTCTACGGCTTAACCCACGGTAGTGGGTTCACTACTGATCTGACAGACTGGGGGAGCCTGGACGCTCTGCTGGGACCTTGGCTGTCAGGGCAGCTGTCAGCCGCCATCTTCAATGCACAGCTTTCAACGCGCCCCAGGGCACCAACTTCGAGCTGAAGCCAAGGGCTCTCTCTTAGAGCAGGAGGTTTCTGTGGGCCAGGCCTGGAACTGGGGTACACACGTCAGTTCTACCCCATTCCATGGCCCCTGTCACACAGCCACATCTAACCACAGGAGCAGCTGGAAGATACAGGCCAGTGTGTCCCAGGCAGGCACGGGGAAGAGAGACCATGCTGATATCAGGGGACCACAAAGGGCAGAGGTAGGCGCAGGGGTGGAGGTTAAAGGCAACAGACGCATGTTGGACAGAGGAAGGATTTCTAGGATTAGGGCTTCCTAGAAGTATCTGGGCACTTGCTAGAGGACCAGCTGCCACGGGGAGGAAAGAGGAGACTGGTCCTTGGTAGTCGGTGGAGTGGCCTTTGGGGTAGGTGCTGCCCAACTTCAGGGTTCATGAGTGCTTTTTAAATAACAATAATACTAGTGATGATGCCCTGCCAGCGTCCCCTAAGCAAAGCCGCCTCCGAGGTTCGTCCCACGCTGTCTCCTGGGGGACCCCCGTGGCACTGAGCCCCAGGTGCCCACAGGAGGAACCTGCTCATTAGCACGTCCTCAGCTGGCTTCTTCCCCCCACCCCACCCCACCCGGTGCACTTTCAGGGACCACCGCCACATGACCACCTGCACCTCAATCCTTGTCTCTGGCAGCCTGAGGCAGAGTTCTAGCCCTAGACCTCCTGTAACTAACCATGACCCTGAGCAAGTCCCTCTCCCTACCACCCTCACCAACCTCTATTTCTTGGATGTGTGAAGTCAAAAAAGCAGCATCGGCTCTGAATTTGTCACTGGATTGTGGTGAGGATCGTGAGAAAGAAAATGGCTGAAAACCTTTTTTCTACAAATGGAAAAGTACAAACCCCTGGGAACACCACCATGCGGAGGGGTCTCCTCCTCGGGGTGGCAGCAGCAACAAATGACCTTCCTGTTCTGTTCTGCTCCCCACAGCCATCGACTTTCTGGAGAAGATCCTGACCTTTAACCCCATGGATCGCCTGACCGCTGAGATGGGGCTGCAGCACCCCTACATGAGCCCATACTCATGCCCTGAGGACGAGCCCACCTCCCAGCACCCCTTCCACATTGAGGACGAGATTGACGACATCCTGCTGATGGCCGCCAGCCAGAGCCAGCTCTCCAACTGGGACAGGTGTGTTTCCAGAAGTTTCCAGCCCTGGAGTCTAGAGCCCACATTCCTGTGATCCTTTGTGACCTTTCCCCATTTTCCACATTGTATAGCCCAGGGGCGCTTTTTCCAACTTACCTTCCTGCCTTCGTCTCTCCTGTCCCCTGACACATGCAGCCTGTCGCTCACCTGTGCACAGGTCGAGGGCTTTCCTTTGTGTAGCGTGGCACCGCCAGCTCTGCTCTTCACGTGGTGTACACGGGGCTCAGTGCAATGTTCCATGAGCATTAGTAAGCCATCAGCTGACTTCTGGAAGGCTGGGCATTTGCCCTGGAAAAGTAAACTGTAGTAACGCAAGGCAAAAGAACAATGCAAAATTTACCACTGCGCCACCCTGGCGTGTTCACATCGTTCGCACGCCCACAGAGTGCCTCTAGGGGAGGTGCCGTTATTGGTATTGCCCATCGGCACCTGAGGCGGCTGCAGCTCAGAGAGGTTGGGGGTGGTATTGTGTCATACAGCCTGTATCTGGCCCATCCGGGTCCTCCCCAGTCTGCACCCATGTCAGACGCTGCTAAGCAATCACGGGACTCTCTCCTGCTAAAGTGGGCTGGGCATCAGAATCCCTCTCAGCACAGAGTGTCCAGACATCGCTACCAATGAATCAGAGTTGGGTAGAAGATACTTTTAAAGAAGATACTTTTAACAGCCTCCACCTGGGCAAGGCACACATGCTCTCTTAGGCCCTTTCCTCTTAGAGCACGAAGCTAAACGTTTGGGAATCACCATCTGCTACTCCTGGGAGGGACAGCCTAGCTGCTCAATTTAGAAATAAAGTCAAGGGCTTAGCAGCTAGGACTCTGAGGGGCCTAAGGGGGAGCCCTGCTGTTGTGGGGATGTAACGGCTAGTTACATATGTGACAGACGAGCAATTCCTCCTTTTTAGTCATTCAGTGGGTTTTGGATTAAGAAGGCACCACTAATGGCTGGTCAGGGCCACGTTGCTATTACTGGACAGTTTGTCCACATCGATTGTTGTTATCAAGAGTTGCCAACAAATGGAGATTAGTGAAGACTCTCTCTCCTGCCACCCCTGGTGCTAGGCCTGCCCTTGGCTCTGGTCCCTGCAGCCCCTCCCCCTCCACTCCGCAGCAGTGGGGCTCAGCGAGGTTCATCCCATGCTAATCATGGCTCTGGCAGGGGGTTGGTGCCAGGAAAAAACTGTAGCAGGGTTTCTGCCCATCAACTCTGACCACTTCTAAACCTGGTACACTTCTGCTCCCAACCTTTCCCATCATACCTGTGGTGGGGGGAGGTGAACAACAAAGGTGGGGGCAAACCCCCTCCTACAGGCCCAGCTGCTCTGGACAAACTGCTAACCTCTGGACACCTGTGTCCTTATCTGAGGTGGTGATAACACTGAGTCCACAGTCCAGGCTGCTATGAGGGCTACAACTTCCATTTGGCTCTTGGTTTAGGGTCTTCATCAATTCTTCCTACTGGAAATATTCGCAATTTCGAGGACCCTTGTGGGAGGAGGCTGTGTTCACCACTGGGAGTGACCCTGACCCTACTGGTGTCACTGGGAGGGCAGGCAGTATTGGGGCCTTCCCGTGCCTCTCAAACCAAATGGACTGCAATCTGTACTTTCACACAGCCAACCTGCTTGCCCTTGGTGCGTTGGGTTTTCCTGTGTGAGCAGTAGGTCCCTTGTTTCAGGGGCAGCTGGCAGCTGGCCGATGCCTCCTCTGTGCTCCCTGCCTTACCCACCCCTCCCCGCAAAGGTTCTGCAGAGAGCACCTGGCCCAGGGAAGGGAGGGCTCAGCCTGAGCTGACAGCTGGCTCTCCTGCCCGCCTGCCCTTCATTTGCTCTTGGCTGGCTGCCTTCACTTTCTGTGGCTGCAGAGCAGTTAACAGAGGGCAGAGTTCCAAGGATGGATGGCTGGCCTTTCCGGAGGAGCCCATAACCTTTCCGTAGGCCCCACCTGCTCTGCATCCAGGCACGGCGCTGCGGGGCATCGAACACAGTCCATTAGGGCGGGGGTTCTCAGCCCTGGCTGTGCCTTAGAATCACGTGGGGAGGTTTGAAAACCATGCTGATGCAGGACCCCACCCTAGACCTACTGGATCAAAATTGGGGGTGTAGGGCAGCCACGGGATGTCATTTGGTATTCCCGCAGGTGTTCTAATCTGAGCCAGGGCTGAGACGCACTCATTAGGGCCCTGCTACTCTAAGTGTGGTCCCCAGACCCCCAGATCACTGGGAGCCTACTAGAACTCAGAGCCCAAGGCCCCAGCTCAGATCTACTGCACGGAGACCTGCTGCATGGAAACGTTAACACGGCCATTTACCTGCACAGCAAAGGTTAAGGGGCACTGCCTCGGTGCATTCACCAGAAAGTAACTTCCATGAGAACAGGGATTTTGTTGTGTTGTTCACTGCGATGTCTGGTAATGGTTAGAACAGTGCCTGGTACAGAGCAGCCACTGAGAAATATTTGTAGGGTATCGAATGAATATAAAAGGATACAAGGGTTAAGTCGAACAGTCCCTCTACCTGAGCCCTGGAAGCTCACCATCACCTTGTCCCATCACCCTTCCACCTTGGAGCGAGGTGGGGACAGGAGCTGAAGGGACTAGGCTGGGGATCCAATCACTGTTCCCTCTGTATCCTTGCAGGTACCCCGTAAGCCTGTCATCCGACCTGGAGTGGCGGTCAGACCGCTGCCTGGACGCCAGCGAAGTGCAGCGCGACCCGCGCGCCGGCTCAGCTCCGCTGGCGGAGGACGTGCAGGTGGATCCACGCAAGGACTCACAGAGCAGCTCCGAGCGCTTCCTGGAGCAGTCACACTCCTCGATGGAGCGCGCCTTCGAGGCCGACTACGGGCGCTCCTGCGACTACAAGGTGGGGTCGCCGTCCTACCTGGACAAGCTGCTGTGGCGCGACAACAAGCCGCACCACTACTCGGAGCCCAAGCTCATCCTGGACCTGTCGCACTGGAAACAGGCGGCCGGCGCGCCCCCGACTGCCGCTGCAGTGGCCGCGGACGCTGGGGTGCGCGAGGACGAGCAGGCCAGCCTCTTCCTGGAGATCGCGCAGTGGGTCAAGAGCACTCAGGGTGGCCCAGAGCGCGCCAGCCCGCCCCCCGAGGGTCCTGAGCACCGATTGTCTGCCTCCCCGCCCAGCCACCCTGCCGCCAAAGACGGTAGCACTAGCCCTCAGTTCGACCTGGACGTGTTCATCTCCCGCGCGCTGAAACTCTGCACCAAGCCCGAAGACCTACCAGACAACAAACTGGGCGACCTCAATGGCACATGCATCTCCGAGCACCCTGGAGATCTCGTGCAGACCGAGGCTTTCTCCAAAGAAAGGTGGTGAGGGCCGAGGGGGCGCTCCAGCACAACCCCCACTCCCACCCAGAAGGGCCACCTGGGAAAGTCGGGCCTGGCAGGAGGCGGCCAGCTCCCCGGCACCCCCACCACCCCATCCTCCCCTCTCTGCTGCCTGGGGGTTAGCAGAACATAGGAAGGATCCAAGGAGCGAGAGGAATGTCCATTTCTTAAACTGCCTTAATAACTAGCCTTTAACCTCTGGGAACGGGTTTGAACAGGAGCCTAGTTTGGGTTGATCAGTGTCCCAGCGAAGAGGAGGCCCTTGCATTTTCTAAGTAGTGGCGTGCAGGAAAGAAACAGGTCTTAGACCCAGTCCGCAGGTCCTGTCTGGGTGGGTGGAGACAGGAACCTTGCAGGCCTGGCGTTTAAACCGTCAGCCTCCACTGACAGATGAGGGAAGACAGTGAGAAGCAGAGAAGCAAAGTCTGGCCAGTGCCTGGGCGAGCCTTGAACCCCAGTCTCCCGGCCCTCAGCCTGTGTCTGTCCTCATGGAGCACCTCCCTCTGCTGGGTCGCACTGGCATTTCAGTCAGAGAAGTTAGTCCGAGAGCATCTTCCCTGTCCGCGACCACCTGACCCATGCCATGTTCCTTGATTCGGAACAGTGTTTCCCGTGTTCCAAATCTGAAAACTGGGCCAGAGTCTTTTCCCTCCGCAAGCACATTTTTTCTGGTGCCTCCAGTGCATAAACATTCTCATTTGTCACGCCCCTGCGTTTGCCTCCCCGCTGCATGAGCTGAGATCTTTGTTTGGGTCAGGCCAGTTTGGGGTCTGTGGGTAAGAGAGCTCATCCTCCTAGGCCTGTGCACCCACCTCCTCCACACTTCTTGCACACTTTCCTGACACAGGCACAGACACGGCGACAGCCCTAGCTCCCCAAGGGGTGTCATACATGAGTGAGCTGGGAGGTAGCAATGCCACGAACCCCTTCAGAGCTCCCCACACCTACTGAAGTGCTTACCATAGAGCACGTGTGTGAGGAGGGAAGAGTTCAGAAGGGCCCTATCAGGCATCATGAATATCGCCCTTGATTTTGATCATCTGTTTAGCCTTGGCAAAGAGCAGGCCCCAAAGAAATGCATTGGAGAGCAAGTGGCCTGGGGGACAAGGAGTCCAGGAAGGTAGGAAGATGTGAGAAGTGAGGTGCCAACAGTGAGGGCACTCAGGGGTCAGGCAGCAGCATGGAGACCTCATGACAACAGAAGGGGCTCCAAGCAACCACACCCCTCCTAATTTAGGCCAGGATGAGTGTGGAACACTCACACCCAGAGGGGCACCCCCACGCAGAGCCTGGGGGGATGGTGTGTGGACACAGCAGCCCCTCTGCAGAAGCATAGTGCAGGCGCCTGGAAGGCTGTGCGATTTCCACCGCTGGTGTTCAGCCCCACCCCCACCCCAACACACCCAAAGATACCCACGGGGAGTCTAGGCACGCCAGGCGGAGGATGCCCCGGTCTTGGTCTTAGCTGTGTCCACTTTCACTGCAACGGCACCTTAAATCTAATCAGCTAACTAGGATTTGTACATCGGAACCTGCAACAGATTAGAAACTTCTATTTAAAAACAGAATTAATCACACTGACCGATTTTTAAATGGAGAATATGTAAATATGAAGTATTTGGTTCGGTTTTTATTTTAAAGAAAAGGAAATGTACACTGCTCCTCATGTGCCATTCGTCCTCAGAGGGCGGCTTTACATTTTTAGTGAAGGAACAAGCTGCTGGCCTTGCCCGGAAGTTCATATATAATTGTTATTACAGAGGAATTGCTATTACTACTCATATTTTAAAAAAATCTATTAAGCATTATTAAACTTGATCTGGACGGGCCAAATAAAGTTTTATTGGAACATGGATTCATTTGTTCACTTACTTATTATGTTATTTGTTTATGCATCATCTGACCTTGTCTTTAACAGCGGGTGATTGATCAGAACCCGGCTGGCTTCTCGCAGCACCCATGAAGGCCAGCGGTGTGAGGGACGGCAGCTGGAGGGGAGGGGAGAGGAGAATCTACCCAGACTGGTGGTCAGGAAAGTGACTGCAAAATCATCTGGGTCTGGCCTGGTGTTTATACTATAGATTTCAAACCATATCTAGAAGCCAACTCCAACCCTTCCGACCAAGGCTATCCTTTCCTCCGGTCGTAGAAGGTGCCAACATCGTGAGATTTGGGGGAGCCAACGACCCAAAAATAACTGCCTGAGCCACACCTTACAGAGGCCCTGGATTCCACCCATCTGAAGTTCACCCTTTTGTAATACCTATGTCCAAACGTTAGCCCAAACTTCGTTTGTTATTCTGCAAATGTAGATATAAACAATAGAGAGGGTTTTAAAATTCTGTTTCTGTTTAGTTCGACTTTTCTGAAAGACCTTTTGACTAAAGGAACTTTCGACTGTGGAAGTGCATCTAAGCCAAGAGGAGCATCCTGTGAGCCAGTTGGGATTCCCTCCAAAGTGTCAGCTGAGAGTAACTCTCTCCCAGCTGGGAAGATGTGAATGCAGAGTGGCCCTGGGCCAGGGCAGAGTCCTGGTGAAATTTTACATTTGAGCAGCCCTCAGTCCTGGGGTTGCTAGAATGTAGGAAATAGGGTTTGAGGGAGAAGGAGTTGAGAAGTCCCAACCGCAAACAGCACCAAAAAGTGCCCCCCCCATAGGACACAGTTGCCCAGGGTCACAGTTCTCCCAGCAGCAACATGTGACGACAGGTGCTATCAACCAGGGGACCTCACCTGAGCTCTGGCATCCAGAATTTGTTCTGGGGATCAGCCATGTCGGACTCTGAGTTGATCTGTGTTACTTGGCTCTGCAGCCCCTCAGAGATCAAAGTGATCCAGGAGGGCCCAGGGCCTCGCACTTGCAAAAACACTTACCAGGCAGGATGTTACAGGGGCCCAGAGGTTATCTCCTGGGAGCCAGAGGAGGGCCAGGCCTCTGAATGCCAGCCTTCCTTCAGAATGTCCAAGGTTTAGGAAGGGGGGCCTGCTGAGATAATGCTCCACTGACTTTGAATACCGTTGTGTCTCCTGTAATCCCACAGCTGTGTGCAAAGTTGTGTCTCGCGTGAACATTACAGCAAAGCTGAGGCAACACAGCTTTGTTATTTGGGAGAATATGCCTACATATTTTTAGGAACATGCAGCATTCTTAAAATATAACAATAAAAATAATAAAAGCATACCTGCTGAGGCAGGGTTAGGCAATCTCACACCTGAGACACCTTTTCTTATTTAATCATGGTCTGCCCATGAAAGCCAAGCTTGTCGACAGATTTGCAACCTAGCTCACTGCTCATTTTGTCGGCGTGGTTAATCCTGGGGCGCCCTGGCCAGTGCATGTGGCTCAGTTGCTTGAGCATCAGTCCGTGAAATGAAAGGTCACCAGTACAATTCCCGGTCAGGGCACATGCCTGGGTTGCGGGTTTGGTCCCCATCTGGGAGCATACGAGAGGCGACCATTCTCTCTCACATCGATGTTTCTCTCACTCTCTTTCCCCTCCCTTATCTTTTCTCTAAAAATAAATAAATAAAATCTTCAATAAAAAAGGAGCATTATCTTTAAAAAAAAAGAAAATGCTACACTGTAAGATCTGATAAATAATTAAAATAAACAAGATTATACTAATAGTAAATAATGGATCCAGAATGCAGACCTACTAACACTTTTAACATTGTGTTCTCTGGGGTTTTTACATTTCTCTGCATCAGAAATGTGGAAAACGCCCTTCCCAAACCAACAACAAAAATACCAGCCTTTGGAGGACTTGCCCAGCCCCCACCATCCCTTCTCTGAGAGGTATGTTCTCTCTCCCACAGGCAAGGCCCTTGTGCCCAGGTTTGTGACAGGGCAGCCTTCGTCCCTCACGCCTCTCACCCCACCTGAGTGGCTGGACCAGGATGGACACCTGCCCCAAGTTAGGCTGATCACAAGAATTCTCTCTCCCAGGAATTTAGGCTTATAATGCAGCGATGCTTGCCAGTCTTTGCTATTGCTTGCACTGAGGACAAGCCAACTTCAGAACTGTGGAGTGACCAAGTTTATTGTGTCCTGATTCACACAGGGAGGAAAATAAAAGGGAGAGAGAGAGACAGAGAGAGAGGGAGACTGCCCTAGTGCTCCTGGACGGGTTTTTTTCTGTTTTAATTTGTTGCTCCAGCCCCTAGTGCTCATCAGATACCCGCTGACCTTACTATAACTCCCCTTTATGTGCATCTCCCTTCAGTGGACTCTGTTACTTGCAACCGAGCAGAGCCTGACTCAGCTGCTGACCTGTGGCCTGGCCTGGCCAGCAGGAGCCCCGTGCTGCACGCTCATACCTGACCTGGATGGGGGAGGAGCTTACATCCCCCCACCCTGCCCCCACACCACACAGGGACACTTTGCACAGGCAGCTCAGCACAGCAGCCCCTGTGAGCAGTGCTTTGAGGAAAGGGAGGAAGCTGAGTAGTTCCATGAGGTGAAGGGCTCTCGGAAGGGTTTAGACAAAAGCCACATCTGGGCCAGAGATGGATGAACCCAACCATGGGAAAGAAATGAATGCCGGGTGGGAGGGGAGGGTATGGAGGGACCTCAGAGGGCCAACCTCCTCTCCTCCACAGTTCTGCCTGGGGTTGACCCGATCTGGGCAGGGCAGAGGTCAGTCAGCGCCAGGAGAAGTCCCTTTAGCTTAGCACGTCTGACATTCTCACTGGGAACAGACATCCGGAGACCAAGGACACCGGGTTATTGGTATAATTAGACTTCCATCAAAATCTGTGAACATGAGGGTTTATCCAGCCAACAAATGTCCCCTGACCATAGGAATGAGAAGAGCCACAGCTGTTTTTACCAAATGGATCACATTAAATTAATTACATTGCCACTGGACAGCTCATTCAATGCCCTCAAGGAGTTTAAATACAACCACAGGTATTAGAGCAGAAAAAGACATTCTAATGCACTCAACCCCCCGCCCTAGAAATAAGGTTGTATAAACTCAGAGGTCAGGCGGCAAGCTGGTGGCTCCTGGCTCATAATCTACTGCTCTTCTTTGAACAGCAGGATGTCTTACCTTGGGACCAGAGGCATTCACTGTGGTTGACTATTCAAAGGCCATTTCCAATAGCTCTTCCCTTGTCTAGCTCCCATCCTAGAGGCTGAAACCCTGAGAACTTGAAATGTGGCTAGTCAGAATCGAAATGGCCTGTGTCAAATACATACCAGATTGCAAAGACTTAGTACCCCCCAAAAAGAATGTAAAATATCTTATTCATCATTATTTATATTGATTACATAGTAAAATTATAACACTTTTATATCTTATATTAAGTAAAATATATTTTAAAAACTTCATCCATCTCTTTTTACTTTTTTTTTAGTGTGCCTGGCTAATATAAAAGTTTTAAATTACATAGGCAACTCACATTACACTTCTATTTGTCAGCACAGTTCTGGAATGCTATGAGCTGATTATTTTTATTGTAATATTTTATTTTAGCAAGGTCTTCATCTTCTCAAAGTAAAAAACGTGACCTTCACAGGAGAACTCCAGGATCCATGTAGTCTTTGTGGAGCAAGCATCTTCCAAGTCAAATAAAGTAATAAAAGCATGTGCCTCTTGCCTTAAAGATTATTTGCAAGCCCACTTAAACTGCACTACACAAAAAAAGAAGTGTTTATTAAGCAGATTCAACAGAGTCTTTCAAAATCTGAAGGCAAGAAGCAGACTCAAGCCTCGAGAAGGACCAAACATGAAGCCCTCGAGAAGCCGAGAAATGAGATTTTTCTTCTCTTTACCTCCCTCCACAAAGGGTTTTATTATCTCATGTTGGCCCCACTGCTCTCGTGTTGCTTGAAGCCCTGAACCTGGACATCCTTCTGCTTCATCTGAATTTAGTAAAATCAATCACTGAAGTCACCATAACAGAGTAGAGGATCAAGGTGACCTGCTCACCAGATTACAGGTCATTTATTTTACTTCCACTGGTGCCAGGCACTGCATTTTATGTTTGGGTCCCATGCCTCTCAGCTGGAGTTTATTCATTAGACTTGACAATGAGACGAGTCTGCCTTGTGCATGCAGAAGAAATTTCAGTCTGAATCTGAAAGTGGAAGGAGCTGCTTCCAAAGATGGCCACTGATTGAAAGGGGGGTGAGCCTCCTTAGTCTCAGGGAGCTCAGTTTTCTGCTTGCAAAATTAGGTCAAAAGATGGGAAACCTTTACAATAACTCATAATTACAAAGATCTGCATACATGGAGGACTGTGGAAACAAAATTTAACCCCTTAAAAAAACTCACAGAACCTGGTCAGATAAAAAAAAAGCAGCCATGGCTAGATCTCTCATGACAGTGGCCACTGCCCCCCAAATGGAGTGAACCAAGCCCCACGGAGAAGACCCCTCCCCCCTCCCCTACTCCAGTCTGTCCCAGGTGCCAGCATCTCTTGCATCACAGCCATTCCATTATTGAGTGCAACCTGGAAGGAACACCACCTTGCACTAGCATGAGGTCCTTCACCAGCTTAGCTAGACTGAGAGCAAGGCCCAAGAGAAAGGGACAGAAGTTATAGCAGTTTAAATGAGGTGGGCGGGAAAGGTGTGAGCCGGCAACAGAATAAAGGGTAGTAGGATATGCCACCCCAGTGTAAGCCACTTTGGCATAAAAGTTATTTTGAGCTGAAGGCCATAAGCCCCCCACGTCAATTCCCAGTCCCCTCCCCCCCCCCTCCCCTCTAATTAAAAAAAAGAAGCAACAAATGCAGGAAGTACTCTCACTACCTTTCCTCTTTTCTTTTTTAAGTCAGGAATACAAATGTCCCTCTTCCTGGAGACAGGCTCTTAACAGCTCAGAGAGAGCACCAGAGGAATCTGTGAAC